CCAACCCGACCCGAAACGCTTGTTTGGGTTCTATAACCCAAATGGGATCCTCCTCCTCCACGTGTGTCATTTCTTCCCTGCCATCTGTTGCTACGATTCGCCAACTCCATCTCGACAGCTCTTGCCGTATTCATCATTCGTCCCCTTGTCAAAGGATTTGCCACATGCATACTCCTCAAACGTGACCTTATCTCATCCTGTAAACCATGAATGAAGTACGCAAAATACTGCTCGTCATGTAATTTAGGTATTTGAGCTACTAGTGATTCGAATTTCTGGATATACTCATCAACGCTTCCATTCTGACGTATAGCAGTGAGTTGTTCAAACACACTTCCTTCTCCCAATCCTCCATAACGACCCAGTAACTCCCGTTTCAAATCCTCCCATGACAGGTCTCCTTGGTCGTTCAACAGTGCATTGAAAAAATGTATGGTTCCTCCCTCCATACATAGCTGGGCTAAACTAACCTTCACCACCTCACTAGTTTCTTGAACTCGAAAGTATATCTCCGCTCTCGTGATCCACCCTGCTGGGTCTTCTCCATTGCTGATTGACGGAACTCCTCCATTGCTTCCCCTTCAAGTATCCTCGATCGACCTCCTGAACCCTGCTGTTGACCAACTGAACCTTCACCTTCTTCATGGAAGTGAATCTTCTCAAGGCTTCGAGACATCATCTCCATCATTTTGGTTTGTTGTTCTGATTGTTTTCGTAATAACTCCATCGTCGACTGATGTTGTGTCGCTTGTTTGCGGATTTCTTCTATCGCCGTCACTTCCCAACCCAGCTCACCCTCTACTCCTTTTCCACCTCTTCTCTTGGGTGGCATTCACCGTTCAAGAGAATTTATCCGGCAAGTCGGACCAAATTGATGGAAACCCAAATTCAAAGAAGACAATAACACTCAATGAAAAGGAATACAAGACTGAATTGTATTAATATCAGAAAAAGAAATACAGCAGAAGAGTGATCTTCTCCTGTCCCAGAGCAACGCTCCTAATAGAGTAACCCACAAGGTTTTCTCTATTCCCACACAAAAGCAAATGATTCAGCATATCCCCCTCTCTCTAACTCGTGCTACTAAATAAGCGAAAAGATCTCATTCTCTCTCTCCTCTAACCACCCGGCTTTTGTATTCCAATATTTATTCTGCACCTCTCTTCTTCCTACATGTATAGACCTTCCATTCCTTGGGAGCCTTATTGTCATAATGGGCCAAGCTGTCAAGAGGCCCATGAATATCTTGGACTCTATCAGAAACTAAAGACACCATTTATTGGTGGTTTTTCGGCTGGATAAGTTGAGGTATTGGAGAAGCTTTTCCAAAATGTCATTCTTGAATTTGGGCGCATGGCCAAGTGGCTTTACATGTTTTCAAGAATTTCTGTTTCATAAATGTTCTCTCTTTGATAAATCTATTAGCTTTCCCTTTAATGAACTTTTTGTGTCCATCTTAAAATATTTTATACAACTACAACATAATTTTTTGGAACAAAATAAAGAATGTACATCTTGGGGGAGGATAAATCAAATTAGATTAAAATTGCCCAAAGAACGAAAAGAAGTTATATGGACAATACTATCCAATAATAGTTGAGTGGGGGAAGAGTCTTATAGTACATTGAAGTTTTGATGCTTTAGAACTTTCATCTTGTACTGGATAACTAACCATTATTCATCTTGTATTCAGGATGGAAAAAGACCCACCCTCAACTCTTATGTGGACTTTGTTCTTGTTGGCTCAGGTCTGTGCTTATTTTTCATGATTTCTTTTGATTCATTTTTTGTGGGTTCCTTCATTTTTGTTTTTTGTTCCTACTCAATGAATTTTTGTTGGTGCAGCATTATGATAGACGGGGCCAATATGACATTGCTCTTTCTAAAATTGATGAGGCTATTGATCATACACCCACTGTCATTGATCTGTATTCAGTCAAGGTTTGCTTATATTTCTAACTAGTTCACTGCTTGTTTTAGGATTTTTTTTTTCACTTCTACGGAGTTCTACTATATAAATTTGTGTGCACATGCATATGGATGTGGTTGCATGTATCTATAAATCTGCACTCTAGTTAATGGAATTTAACCATCAATTAGAGAACACTTAACTCTGATTTGTCTAATTAACTTCAAGAAGTGCTATTAGCAAAGTTTTAAATTGCAGTCGCCGATGTGGTTGCGTTAAGGTTTTTGCAATTACAAGTATTGCAGATTCTGAAATGTAGGTTGTGGTTATTGCAGCGTGAATTACACACAACTTACCACAAAACTATATTGAATTTTCTATATTATTATATAAAATTCCACAGTAACTTATACTTAACATTTTTATAATTAAAGATATTCCCCCCCCCCCTCTAGTTAATGGAATTTAACCATCAATTAGAGAACACTTAACTCTGATTTGTCTAATTAACTTCAAGAAGTGCTATTAGCAAAGTTTTAAATTGCAGTTGCCGATGTGGTTGCGTTAAGGTTTTTGCAATTACAAGTATTGCAGATTCTGAAATGTAGGTTGTGGTTATTGCAGCGTGAATTACACACAACTTACCACAAAACTATATTGAATTTTCTATATTATTATATAAAATTCCACAGTAACTTATACTTAATATTTTTATAATTAAAGATATTCAAATGTGGCCAAGTATTAATCATGATAAGTATTTATTGAGATGTACCCAAGTCCTATATTGACTAAAGATAAGGCAAACCGAGTTTATAAGTGGGGGACACCTTTACCTTACAAGAAACTGGTTTTGAAAGGTTAAGCTAGACTCTAATCCATTTTCTAAAATGGTATTAGAGTTATCTTAGATCCGCTAAAAAGAGTCACCCACCATTTATACATGTCTCAAATCCAATCATGTTGGGCATGAGGGGTTGTGTTGGGAAAAAAAACCCAAGCCCCACCTATATTCTAGATCATTAAAAAAGGGCTGACCACTAATCATTCACATATCAAGTTCAATAGTGCGAGACTTGAGGGGGGTGTATTGAGAAAAAATCCAAGTCCCACATCGATTAGAGATAATAAGGCAAACAAAAAGTTTATAAGTGGGGGACAATAACTAGTAAAAAAATACTTTATAGTAACTTATAATTAATACTTTTAGAATTAAAAAGATATTAAAATATGGCCAAGTATTAGTCATGATAAGTATTAAACCATGGAGTAAATAAAGTAAAGATGTAAATGATAAAAAATAATTTTTAATCACTGAAAATTAGTTTTTTACCACTTAACAAATTAATTTGCCCCACTCATACATTTATTTATTTTTTCTATAAAAAAATGATAGTATCCAATAAAGCCAATAATAGTATAATATACTCTAGATATTCAAGTAACATGTACTTTCTAAGATCAAATATTGGTGAAAATGAGTTAATTTAGTAGGGATTAGTGGTGATTGGTAACTTTCATTAACAGTCGATAGTATGTGGAGAAACTTATTGATTGTTGTATGTTTTCGAATATCAGAGTCGGATACTGAAGCATGCTGGTGATTTGGCTGCTGCTGCTGCATTTGCAGATGAAGCTAGGTGTATGGATCTTGCTGATCGTCATGTTAATAGTGAATGCATTAAGCGCATGCTGCAGGCTGATCAGGTATTGTCTATCTATGTATTTGAATTTCATTCACACTTGAGTATTGTAATTTGTAGCTTTCTCTTTTGCCTGCTCTGACTTTCTTTTGGTCCATTCCCTTGATATCCAGGTGTCTTTGGCAGAAAAAACTGCAGTGTTGTTCACAAAAGATGGTGATCAACACAACAACCTTCATGACATGCAGTGCATGTGGTTTGTATCTAATGATGTTTAGTATTCTGTACTAGCTAGCAATATGGTTTCATTTTGTAACACATTGTAACATCTATATTTTGAAGGTATGAGCTTGCCTCTGCTGAAAGCTATTTCCGCCAAGGTGATCTTGGACTGGCTCTCAAGAAATTTCTAGCTGTGGAGAAGCATTATGCAGATATTGCAGAAGATCAATTTGATTTTCATTCATATTGCTTAAGGAAAATGACATTGCGTACATATGTGGAAATGCTTAAATTTCAAGACCAATTGCATTCACATGCATACTTTCATAAAGCAGCTGCTGGTGCTATCAGGTGAAATATATGCTGTTTTTAATTGGCTTACAGTTTACTGCATCAGTTGTTATGCTTGTTAGTGTTATGCAGTGCTTTGTGTCACTGAGTTCTGTACATGCACTGGGAAATTGAACAGTGATTTATTTGTAAATTGTTTCCCTGCCTTACAGTCCTTGAGAGGTCAAGAGTTTCTTATTTATGTTTCATGTTTGGTATGTGCTTATAATTTTGTGACTTAAAACATGCCTTTTTGACTGCCATAACTTGTCAGCCTAAATTCATATATGCAAAAGGAATTCCTTTTGATCTTGTATTCATGATCTCATGCTTCTAATGTTTGGAGCTGCAGATGTTATATAAAATTGCATGATTCTCCTCCAAAGTCTTCATCTGAGGAAGATAATGACATGTCTAAGTTGCTTCCTTCTCAGAAAAAGAAATTGAGGCAAAGACTGAGAAAGGCAGAAGCAAGAGCTAAGAAAGTATGAATCACAGCTATTGCTTCTGTTGGGAAGTTCTTACTGGAAAAGTGTTCATGCTGTTTTTTTTTTCCTTTTTAGGAGGCTGAAGAAAAAAATGAAGAATCAAGTGCTGGTGGGATATCAAAATCTGGAAAACGGCATGCAAAACCTGTTGATCCAGATTCACGTGGTGAAAAATTATTGCAGGTTAAATTTCAATACATTTATTTTCTTTTAGTATACAAAAAATGTAGGTGAGTTTCACCTGCCCAGAACCATGTTTATTGTAATTGTTAAGATGTGGGATATCATAAGAAACTATGCTTACTGAGTTTTTTTAATTGTTAAGGCTGATATTTTACTGTTTGTCGTGCAATTTTCCCCTTCTTAGGTTGGAGATCCATTGTTAGAAGCCACAAAATACTTGAAGCTTCTATAGAAGAATTCACCTAATTCATTGGAGACACACTCTCTCTCTTTTGAATTATATATGAGAAAACAGAAGATTTTGCTTGCCTTCCAGGTATACATATGTAAAATGAGAAGTTGAGATTATTTTTGTTTTTTGGGTGGGGTGGGGGGTGGGGGGCAGGGTGTGGGATACATCTTATTCCAAGCTAGTTAATTTTGTCAGGATAGTAATTTTTTTGGGCTTAATAATTCTGGCTGTATCCATTGACATGTTAAGCTCATTACTAGAGTTTAGGGGGCTCTATGTTGTAATTTTATGCTAATTAATTGAATATTTATGTTACTTTTCATTTCTTAACATTATAAAACTTGTTACACTTTGCCATTTTAGAATATGATGCCTGTTAAATGTGTTTTATTCTCAATCTTTTGACTTGTAGGCTGTGAAGCAGTTACTGAGGTTGGATGCTGAACACCCTGATTCTCATCGTTGCTTGGTATGCTTTTTTCTGAAGAACAAGTCAATTTCATGTGACTGGGATTAGAAAGTTTGGGATTTTAATGTTTATCAATATCAAAACACTACATAATAATATATGATATGTTACTTGTGATTTGTGAAGTTATCGTTTATAGTTTGTTTATATTTAGCATATAGTATATGCAAATTGGATAATCTTCTAAAACCACTCCTATGAATTTGGTACCAGCTGCTCATGGCTCTCCCCTTCCCTTTTTTCCTTTTTCCCTTTTCCCTTTTTCTCACCTTTTTTTAGGATATAATGTCCTCTCTATTTTGATTTCTTCCTTCCTCCATTAAGGAAATTATTCTTTTTCTGCTGTCATTCATTTATTAGTTCACATGTTGCAGATTAAATTCTTCAATAAAGTGGGATCCATGAATGCTCCTGTGACTGACAGTGAGAAACTCATTTGGAGTGTCTTAGAAGCTGAGCGCCAAACTATTAGGTTCTCTAGTGCAATTATTTACGTTCTTTTTTTCTCCTTTTATTTTTGTATTTGGTGGCTGGCATGTTCATTTTTTTATTTATTAATTTATGATTTAATTTTAACTTCCCCTGATTATTCTTTTTATGTAGTCAGCTGCATGGAAAATCTCTATTTGAGACAAATAACTCTTTCCTTGAAAAACACGAAGGTTATAGTCAGCATTAACACGAGCATTTGTTGATTTCAGGCTTGATTATGAAGATTTCTTATTATGTTTCCCTCCTGTTTACAGATTCTTTGATGCATAGAGCTGCTTTTGGAGAAATGTTGTATATTTTGGATCCCAACAGAAGGTCTGAGGCTGTCAAGTTGATTGAAGGGTCAACAAATAACCTTGTGCCAAGGTAATGTTCTTACACCACCTCAAGTTTCATGCTATTAAGCACTGATACAACGTATTACTTGTGCCATTTCTTCAAACTGGTACAGCACTCTCGTGCTTGTGATGCATGCCTGTTTTGGATTAGGAAAGTTTCATATTTCACACTTTAGCGTGGCTTGACATGCCTGTCTCAACATTCTAATCAGATTTTGACTGACTGGCTGAAAAAGCTTACTGAAATTCATTGCCCCCGTTATATAGTATTGAGCCTTGTCACATGATTTCCCTCATCAGTGAAAGAAATGAGACACATGAGAATCTTGTGTAGATCAGAAACATAAGTACTCTGTATTAGAGAGAGTGAATGGGAAAGAGAAAATGAAGTACCGGCCTTATTTTGGTGGTAGTATCCAGCCCTTTGCATGGAAGATATGAAATTGCAAATAGGTGAGATAATTCTTGGTCTTGGAGATGAAAACAAATGTAAAAGGGGAACTGCAGGGGGTGGAGCTAGAAATTTGTCTTGAGGAGGGCCAAGATTTTTTTTTAACACTTATATGTAAATACTCTAACATCATAAATAGTTCATTATCATTTATATATATTTTTTATCTCTCTTTATATTATATTATATATCAATCTTACATATATTTCTCTTTTTCTTTTCTTAAGTGTAAACTAACATAATAATTTTTCCTCTATCTACCTATAATATTTTTTTTATAAATTTTAGGGGGCCAAAAAAACATTTTTAAAGTAATTAATTTTGATACATTTTTAAAAAATGGGGGGAAGTTCTCTCCTCAATTATTAAGGGGTTGCTAGTTACCCAAAATGACAAACCCTTTAGAAAATTCTTTATTGTTTTAGAAAAGGGGTTGAGTGAAAAAGGTTGGGAAGACAAAAGGGGAATATTTGCTAAATATCAAACAAAGTAAAGTCTGCTAACAAAAATATTTCAAAAATATGACGAAATTGATTAGAAACAAAAAGATTCTGAAAAAATGAACATAGCTTATCCTATAATTGTTGGGTTTGCCATGTCCGAGTGTTTGCATTTTCATAGACTTAAATCTCTGCTTTTACCTTTCTAGACTCAGTTTTGGTTTTCTAGTTTGAGTGATGGTAATATTTAATCATGCAATATTGTTCTAATAGAAATGGAGCGCTTGGACCAATCAGGGAATGGAAACTTAAAGATTGTATTGCAGTTCATAAACTTCTTGGAACAGTTCTTGTTGATCAGGATGCTGCATTAAGTAAGTGTCATTTAGATTTTCTGTTGCTTTATTATTATTATTTGTTAAATGGCCTTAAATATGGACAAGACACGTGCATATGATGAACTTTTGGGAGATGTTGGGTATGGGTGGTGCTTTTGATTTCCTAGAGTATAATGTGTATTTGGTTTCTTATGTTAACAATTTACTGATTGCTCTATAAGGAGATCCAGATTATTTTTAGAAGGAAAAAATAATAAAGAAATAAAAAATGCTTATTTTTAACTGAAATTTATGTTTTGATTTTGACATAAGATTTAACTTAGGTGTCGCCTTTTATGACGGCAAATGGGAATTTTAATTTGTAATTTTCACTATTGACTTCTGAAATTTGAGTTGCTTCTATATCTGCTTTCTTTTCGTCTGTCTGCTATTGTTGACATTCCCATGCATCACAAGAACTTTTCACGTCTTTGATAATACTCTTAGAACCACTGGTATTCAAAGGTTCTATTTAGTTGGTTGAACAGAGTAGGTTGTTTAAGCTCCCTGGTACCAAGTTTGATTCCTGTATGAATAAAACAAAAAGAACCACTACAATTTTGAATTGCCAGAGGAAAAACCCCATAGGAGGTACAATATTTGATATCCTGTAAATTTGCTTGCAGGATGGAAAGTGCGTTGTGCCAAGTATTTCCCGTACTCGACGTACTTTGAGGGCAGTCGCAGCTCTGCTTCTCCCAACTCTGCCCTTAATCAGATATGCAAGAGCACTGAAAATGGAAGTTCTAACCATTTGGCCGGTGATCACAGTGTGGAATCAGTCCCATCAAATGGGAAACTAGAGGCATTTAAAGATCTCAGTATTTGACAAAGTTGAACATGGGCTATAAAATGGTTTGCAACCACGCCTAAGTTCCCAGCATACCAAGTTTTGGTGCCGGTTATATCAAATTCTGGACTCACGGGTGTAGTTCTTTGCACGAGTTCTGCCTCTCTAAACTGACCTTTATTCCATTTGCAAATGTGTATAATTTTACCGCAATTATGTTTTAGGGTTGAATTTTTTATTTGCTCACCCCGTTTTTGAGAGAAGACTCCAAGGATTTGCATCGTCGTCCAATTAGGTCGCAGGGAGAGCTACAGAAATTTTAAGTTTATGGTCCTGCGTTCGGCCAGCATATATATACACCGAGAGCATGTTGTACTTTTCCTATTTCTTGCCTTATTTATCATGTATTAATTATAATTATTCAACTATGTCAAAATTTTGCTTTAGATTCCACACTGTTGAATATTAGATGATGGTTGAGAAGGCTTGTAAGAATTATGATTAAAAACAAAATTTATACAAAATCTGCCTCAAACGGTGTGGTTGGTTTAAAGCTATGCCCGCAAATCCTGACCTGAAGCCGAAGGAACACCTGCATTTGTAATTTGGTCAGAGCAACTATGGTTGCAAATTAGTTGACTTGGTAAAGTTGGATTATGAAGTTTAATATCAATTTTTGTCTTTGTTCATCCCTTTTTTCAGTGAGAGAAAACAAAGTTATAATCAAATTTAAAAGTATCAGAAATCGATTGTGATTGGCCTCAATAAATTATAATCAGTTTGAAATGGGAGAATCTATTTGTGGAGGAAATGTTCATATTTTGTGCTGACTTTGGACGCAAATTTTCTCATGTCAGTATCGAATCTATTTAACCAGAGATCTTCCTGTACTACACACCATTTTCATTCTAAAATTTATTTACGCAGTTTTCAAACCGATGATTGTATATCTACAAGTTTTGTTAAATTTTTAATAAGTTAATCAAGTTAATTGATGAGTAATATATTCTCATTAAAATGGAAGAATTATTAATTATTAAGATAGTGAATTGATAAATGCTTTAGCTTCAAACAGATAATTCACTACAGTGAAGTTAGTTGAAGCATATATGCCATTTTGACATCGAACGAAAAAAAATAAAATTACTAAGTGCTTAAAATTTGAACAGATAATTACTTTAAGTAAAGCTAGTTGAAGCAGGTAGTATGTTACAGTTTTATATTAAAAAAATCAACATTTTTACTAAATTTTGTTATATATACAGATGGAGAACTGATAAACGAAGAAAGATTTGAAACAACGTATTTTCTACAAACAATACTTGGCGTGTATGTAAAACCGTTGCAGATGTCGTGGGAAAAGCCGACAGGGGAGAAAAACCTTTCACTAGCTCGCAACATCACAACATATGCTTCAAGGTATTACTTATGTTCTCTTTGGATCTCACCTTTAAAGCAGAATCCAAAAGGTTTGATGATGTGAATTTGAAAAGGTGCAACTTCATGGAGGATATGTGCCTTCGGCAAAGAGAAACTAAGGTTATGTTGGTAACCATTCTCCCTTAATGTGTACTGGAATCCCAAACTGAAGGTGACCCTCCATTACTTGTGCCAACTTCACTTTTACAAAGAGGGCATGAAGCATTTATCTTTAACCATTTGTCCACACACGCTACATGAAAAACGTGAGAGCATGGTAACTCTCTAAGCTCGTCATTATCTGCATATTTTGCTAAGCAAATGCAACAAACCTGCAACAACCATAGCTACAAATTCAAAGCACCATCCTTAATACTACCTCTGTTTTTTTATGCAAGAAACAAATGAATATACTTTTTTAGTCCTAATTATAGGAAACAATTATCTACTTTAGATGCATTAATTACTAATTTTCTTTTATACCTTCATGCAAGTAAATAAATTTATTGATCTATTAATAATATAATTTACATTAATTGGTGGAAAAAGTTATTTAATTAAGAGTATTGTTATTTAATACAACTACTATTTAAACCAATCAATTAAAAAAGTGTCTTTGGAATAAAATTTATATTTTTTTTAATATTATTAATGAATATTAACTATCTTAACTACTCTTATTAGTTTTGATGAATTAATTATTTGTTTCTTATATAAAGCAGCAGAGGCAGTACTTACTTACATTCAGGTTCTACTTATATCTAAAACTTTTCATTCATTCTTCTTTTGGCTTAAAGTAAAGATTCGATACAAATATTGTCAAGAAAAATGCTAGCAATATATAACATTCTTTGGGATATACACTTAATTATTTACTGAAATTTATTGAAAACAAACTTTTATGGATCCCAGTTTTATTTAATATGCCTCATGATTTTGTAATTTTAATAAATTCTTGCCAATAATAGTGTTAAAAGAAGTGTGTTAAAAAGTGTTACTAACACTCTTTTGTTGTCAATTCATAACTTAAAAACAAATAGTCACCAATTAAACTTACCGCGTCTTCTCCTGATATTACTCGCTCTTTTTCTGTCCCTGCAGCCAAAATTCCACCTTCATCTATAGCTGCATTGACATCCTGATCATCACCATTTTCACTGTCCTTCATTTTGAATTTGAAGATTGGTAGAGCATTAATTGATTCTGCTGTTGCTCCTCTATTTTGAGAAAAATCCTCCCGAATGCCCAAAACAGAAATTATACAAGGTAGGCAGCAACAAATTGTTGCACAAAGTATAAATGGCATTGCATATCCAATACAGCTAAAGGTAAGAAACACAATACATAACCTGCATGAAATGAAGCCCAGATTATTTGAAGACTCGAGAAAGTAAAGTACTGGTTGTGCAAAAACAGTTTGTTACAAATACCTATACAATTGTGGAGCATCGGAAGCAGAAGTGTGACCTCCAAAGATCCAAACATTTCCTACTACAAACCATACAGCAAAGAAGCAATCCAAGGCCATCTTGAAATGGTCTACTAATCCATTAAGCCTGCAATTTAGCAAGAAATTTCTCCGCTTAGTTTGCTAGTGATTCGTTAAACATGGATAAAAGGATTTGCTTAGATAAACATCTCTATAAACACATTTAAGAGAGAAAAATAGGAAGAAAAATGAAATAAATTTCTCCATAAGTTCAAATTGGTTTATGTATAATCTAATTTGTAAAAGTTTTCTCCTATTAGCTTCACCAAAATCTTATTTTTAACTCATGCATAATCTAATTTTAACTTATGAAAAAGTTCATTAATATTTTTCTTCCTATTTTTTTATTCTACAAGTATTTCTGAACAAGCTTATCCAAATAGGCCTAAAGTCAGACCAGGCATCAAGGTTTTGTATCAAGCTGAATTTGTCATTCAATAGCATCATAAGAAAATAAAGTGTTAAAACTGCAACATATTTTAAGGTTCCAATCTTTCCCAGTCTGGGCGAAGCTCATAAGAAGTTTCAGTAAGTGTATTTTAACAAGGAATTTCTCTGCTTAGTGCATTCATTAAACACGGATAAAATTAGGCAACGTATTTTATTAGCTGGAAGTTTAACATCAATAACCTTGGAGGAAACAAGATGTTACAATTTACCCACTGCAATCATAATATCGTTATCATCAAAAAAAAAAAAAAAAGAGAAACGTCACTACTAAAAATCTGCCTTCACATCCTATACCTTATCACAAATATCCAAACTTTCAATATTTTCACCATTTTGCTTCTAGAAGCCTGTTGTATATAATATATGAATCTTATTTTTAATTGAAAAACAGAACAAAAAACCTATTATGTACTTGTCCTTCTCCTACTCTTCCTTGGCAACTTTGTTCCATCCATCATCCAATCCCCCATATCCTCGGGGAAACAAAAGTCCCAAAAACTTAAATAAACTCAAATATTGGACACTTTCAATTAATTAAAATTTACTTTTGCATCCAACGGCAATCCCATTTCCACCCAGATGAATATTGGGCAAAAGTACACCACTTGAAAAAGGATATTTGCCCGTAAAAAAAATAAACCAATAGTGTACTCAAAATGCATAACAACAAAAATTATTATTTTAGGAGAATTCAAAGACCGTGTATATCCAAAAGGAATTCTAAGTCTAATTCTGATACATTTAAGGGTTTAAGGAACAATCCAAATACTTGTCATAATGTAGATGTGTCTATTAAGATGGAAAGTTAGTTTCCATTATTCTTCTTCCTTTTTAGCTGGTAACAATATAATATATCAGGGGTATAATCTTATCATATAAATGGGTAAAAAAGGGGTGATACTCTTCATAATAAAAGGTGAATACTGAATACCAGGACTAATAACCCAACCCCAACCCCAAAAAAAAAAAAGAAGAAGAAAGACGGGTAAAAATAATCATACCTAGAAGTAAAGGCTCCAGGAATTATAGTGTTTCTTGTGGCAGATTGTGCAGCATGACCATTCTCCTCATCTGAGACATGAGAAACGTAGATGGCAGTATAAGTTCGATCTGGAGGATTGTTTCCAGAAGATCCTTGAGATAGTTGAGAGGCATCTTGTTCATTGCTTTGATTACGGTTTCGAAAACGCCAGTAGAGAATGGGAAGTGTGGCAACACAACCAGATGCATAACCCACAATCCATGCAAATAACGGGGCCTGTGGATGTTCATTCCTGGACAATGACAAAATGATGATAGATGCTATGATCTGACTTACAGTGACAACAAGCTCAACAGAAATCCACAGTCCAGAATTCAATGGACTTCTTCCACGATGACCATACCCCTCACCTCGTCTCAACGAAGCAGAATTTCTAGAGTTTAATCTGGATGCAGAAGATGAAGACGTTTGATGAGTGGAATCTTGTGTGTCCCCAGTTGGTTGATCTTCATTCTGTGCTAAATGCATTTCAGAGTGTTGATCATTGTGTGATGATGTGGTTATAGCTTCACCATTCCTTGTAATGTCAATTATGTGCTGATGACCATTACGGATTTCTGGCTGCTCCATCAGCAAAGGGTGTTGGTCGGTTTGAGTGTTGCTATTTGGACCCAGAGAAGTAACATCCATCTAAATCACCAAATAAAAATGCGATAAGGCATAGAGTGGTAGCAGCAAGTTTTCCGGTCTTCACCTTCTCCTAATTTGATTTCATATCACTTACAAATCCACCGTAATACACAGAACTTAACGTAGCAAGATCTTCAGCCCAGGCCTTCAAAGAGGGATTAACCTTTATCCTGATCAAGGTAACCACAGACAAATAATTTTACATATTAAAATCTTACTACTCCAAAATCCTATAACCTGTTTTGTCCTAGCTAATTTTATTTTTTGGTTCATTATCAAGAAGTACCTCCCGTCAAACATGGGCTAATCTCTTTCCAGATTTGATAGACACTAAATAAGTGAATATCCTCTCTCAGCTTCATTTTCTTTTGCATACACAAGAACTAGGATTCGAACCCCATAGTGAGAACACAATAGAGCGTTTTATAACAAAGATTATCTTGAACATTATTCACATGAAGATCTAGTTCCAACAACAACAGGATGCAATGCAATTCCAAAAGCAGTTGAGTAAGGGTTTGAATTCAGCATAAAATAAAGGGATACATGACATTAGGAACTAAATCCATACTCATAAATAGTAACATAGTTAGGTAGCAGTGAATTCATAACAAAAGAGTCTTCCCAGAAACAGAAACCTAGTAAATCCTAATTCGGAGTTAAAAACAAAACCAAATCCCACCGCAACGCATTAGTTTCATTAACAATTAATTCATGTCTCTGTCTCATTCAGACAACAAACACTCTGATCCGAACAACGGAAACATCAAAACATTTGACATCCGAAACCATAATAAATCGAAACGAAACCTCAAAAACAACTTAAAACTTGCGAAAACAATTGAAGACGTTTCGGAATGTGAGTGAGGAAGAAAGTGTTCACCTGATTCAGCTCACGCAAACGATTCGAAGCTCACTGTGTGTGCCGTTTGTTTTGCTTCAGATTTTCGATTTTTACTAAACAAAAAGAGAACAAACATTTAATGATGTGAAAAATAAATAAAATATTATCTTTAATCTTATAATTGAAAAAAAAAAACAAAAAGAAGAGAAAAAAAAAACGTCAGCAATGCTTAACACGTCTCTGTATGAAAAGAAAGGGAGCGGAAACGTTGATGTCAGATGTGTGTTGTCGTGTTGACTCACGCGCTTTCTCAACCGTTAGATTTGAAGAAACGCTTTCTGCATAGGGTGATGACGCGAGAGCTACGTGATCTAACGGTGGAGAATATTTCCGACGTTAAAGATTTATCACTTTGCTATTTTAGCATTCTGATCCAATGGTTCCTACCTTATCCGTGTTATTTATTTATTTTTTTAATTAACATTTTTCCTATTGCACAATATGTAATATCTTTAATTTAAAATCTTACCTACTTAAAATAAATTATTTTGTGAAGAAAATTATTATTTCTAATTTGTTTCGGTAATGAAACAAATTTTACCTTTGTTTTTGAAAACAAGTTATCCCCCTTATAAAATTCTATGTGAGCCAACTTTTCCTCCAAAAGAAGTACAAACAGGCACTCGGACTATAATATTAATCATACCAACATGGAAGTATGATAAAAACAAGGGGGGAAATTTGGACACACCAAATGCTAAACTACATTTAGATAGAGAAAAAAATAATTGAAATGTAGAGTGTCAAAAAGAGTGTTTACAATGTTTGGGTGTTTAAATATCATTACTATAAACATAGATACAAAATCTAGAACATTTTAATGTCAAAATAATTTATTTAGTAATAATTGAGTTCTTAATATTGTTCTCAGAATAATTCTTTTGGTTTTAATGTTATGGTCTTATATTTACTTGTTTTACATTTGATTGTGTATTTCCATTTTTAAATACTTTTATCTGCCAAATATTTCATTATATTCATGATTTGTAGTTGCCATCGGTCAGAGAATTCTCTTTGGGCCGCAATTTCATAATGGGCTCATAATACAGATTATATAAGTAGTCCATTTCAGTGCAAAAAAGTGAATAATGATATTTGGACTTGCTTCAACAAGGCTGCAAAACCCAGGCTCTCAATTGAAACGAAGGGGCTGATATCATTTGAGTTTGAGGCTATAACATGTTCTTTGATATTTATTTACACATAATGTTTTATGTTTGTTTTTCCACCCAACATCATTGAGAAAGTTCGAGAAACAAAGCATAGTTGTGCAGCACGTGGCTGTTGATGGGCCTTTGGAGAAAAATCTGAAGGAAATGGAGGGTTTGGAATACACATTGCATATTTTATACCCACAATTACAGTATCAAATTGGCAATGGTGCCCCCCCCCCCGGGTAAGACT